GGAACCACATGAAAGAATCAAAAATCATCATCCCTAAATTTTTCCAGACCTCAAATTTTTATTGATCTCCATTTGGAAAAGGCAAGATTTTCTCCAATATTTAGCAGATTAGCATGGGATGCTCACAGCAGGGGAGATCCCTCTGTTCAAATGTTCCACACCTTATGTGCAGATACCAGATCTGCTCAGGTGTTCAGATCTGCTTTTAATATATGTTTTATACTGAACAGTATATGATTTGCTGAACGGTGCCACAGTGTTTGGTCCAGACAACAGTAATAACATATTGCAGCATCCATGAGGCAAGTAGGTAGCATCTGTACTGTTGGTGTGTCTAATGATAGTTGATCAATGACAAAACTGAAAAGATCTGTTTTAGGATGAAATAAGTAACTGCAAGACCATGGTATAAAGGCGGACCTGGCACATGCTATGGCTCGCCTTGCTTAATTGCTAACAGGTTGTTTAATTTTTAATATTAGTTTGTTTGAATGTAACCAGCCAGGTCAATACATTTGATGTAGTTTAAGTTAAAGCATTTTGTCAATAGATTCTCCTCTTGTTGAGAAAACTTGTTTGTTTTCCTTTCTTTTTAAGAATGCCAGGTTACAAAAAAATCAGTCCATCACCTACCACGCTAGACAGGTAGTTAAAAACAAAAAACTAGCATAAACTCAGAGATGTTTGGCTATTTTTCCTAATAATCCAGTGGTCTCCCAGCTTGGACATTTTGACCAAACTACCAATTCATCCTAAAATGTTTTTAAATGATTGTTTAGATTATATTTTTTTAGGACTGAATCAAATATATTGTTGGACAACAACAATATTTGCAGGAACTAATTAAATCTAACATGATATTGGACTAACCTGGTGATTGGTCAATACCTTTTTTGATTATGACCTTTTCTTCATCAACTTTGTCTCAGTTCTAGCTTTATCCTTCTTTGCAAATAACATTGTTGATGACCCAGCTTTTAATGTAATTGGAAATTACTAAAGGGGAAACTGCACAAGCCTTAAGGCAGAGTGATTCACTCAGCTTTTGACCTTGCAGAGCCGTTAGAATTCTTTATATGTACAAGCATTTATTCTTTCAAGCTTTGTTCCTTTAAACATAAATCATGTTTAATGTACTACTTTTTTATACACAAATAAATATCAAATACTGCCTTTCATTTGCAAACTGTTGAAATGTTATTGACAAAGAAAAAAAAGTGAAATAAGGCTGTGCACTCA